TAATGGTTTCATTGCTTTTTGTCTGTTAGCAGGATTATGAAAAAACGACTACACTGATTTTATTGGCTCTCGACAGAAGAGCAGGATATGAACTAAGGAAGAACAATTCCAGTGTTGGAATTTTTCTTGCTGGTCTCACATGCATGTGCTGCATTAACCCTTGATGGTGGGCATGCACGATGCCTTGGATTGCCGCGATCATCACGTTGACAACAATCATGGTTTCATACTTGAGTACAATAAAATCCACAACCAGATGAACACCAACTACATCTGCCACCTATTTCGCTGTATTGTGATATGTTTATCCCTAATTTGATTGGCTGTTGCCTCCTCTGCTGAATGAAAAGTTGACTATACCTCTACCGCAGCACAAGCAACACGATCCAAGGGAACAGTTCATTTATTCATTCATCCAATGTGAATGCATTAATGTGAGTCAAGCATAAGGGTAGGATCCAGGCATTTATTTCCACTGTTTTAAACATCTTATCTGGCGTAGTTCAAAACTTGTGTAAATTTCTTCAGAAACAATACAGTACTGCATATTTTTCATCCTATTACTAATACAGCTATAAATTACCTAAAAACTTTCTGTGTACATGATATATGTACCCAGTTAGCCTTAGCGGAAGTAAGTGCTATTGTTGCTATTTTAAAGACATGCAGAACTGTAAACTTTGACCATGTGAAAATGCAGTTTGTTAAATAGGATGTTACGGCAGCTGTCAGTAACAGTACACCTATTTTATTTCCCAACACTTAGTCACAAAAATTTGGAAGCTTTTTAATAAATCACTTACAAATTAATGGATTTAGTAACAGGTTGTCATGTGTTTCCATGGTTACCATTGCAGTAAGTGCAACATCTCTGGTTGCAGTTATAAACCACTTTGTATAAAAGCTAAAATCTGGCCTTGTGAGTTTTTTGTTGCTTTAAATGGGCAGAGGCATCAGCTCTGAAACATCAGTGGTGTTATATTTTGGTGACCTGACATCACAGAGCAGCTTCAAGCATTAACTTGTCAGAAACAGTAAAATTGAGGATCATTCTTCTAAATCAATGTGTCAAAGCACTTGTTGAAGTCTAATATCATCCTCCCATGGAAAAATCACATTTGAACAAACCATCAAACTACATGCAGAGACTGTGTCTGATTCTGAT